AGTGAAGTTGAGAAGACTCCATGAGAGAGAAGCTGTACCTGCAAGAAGCACTGAGTCTCAGGAGACACGGAGAACATGGTATCCAGCACAACTGAATGGCCAACTACTTCTACTGCACCGATGTTGGTTCAACTTCCGTGTATGACATCATCGGGCAAGAAGAGCAGGAAAATGATAAGTCATGCAGTTTCCAGAGCTAACAGAACAATTGCTCGTCTGAAACATGAGAACCTGACACTGCAGAGACGTCTGAAACGAGTCAGCAAACGTTATGAACGTTTATTCCGTAAACACAAACAACAAACATCAAAATCATTTGAAACTAGCCAGCCATCCACTTCCAATGAAACAAGGACAGAAGACTCTGACACTATGACTCCACAGTGGAAAACTGAAAAAGAATTACAGAACTTAAAATTTGCAACGCCAAGATCCAGAAAGGCAGATAAAAGACGTTTACTTTTGGTTAATTGTTTGGAACATGAACTATCTGAGGCTAAGAAGCATAACACAAAGAAACATGTAAGAAGCCTGGTCAACATTGTTTCTGGAAAGGTCAAGAAGTACAGAGGAGTCCGCTACATTGCAAATAGAACTGGAATAAACAGGAGAACATTACTCATGGCATCATCTAAAGGTGTCATGCATGTGTGCTAAATGAAGTGGAAGACTAGACTATCTGGCCAATCTATTCCTGAAGTTTAGGGCTGAGTTCCCGAATGTGAAGCTGTAGCTATCGTCATTTTGCAAACTGAGACCTTCTCACATTTTGCCAGTGTTATTTACAGCAAGGAACACCTGTCTTTGCAGTAAACATCAGAATATGGCCTTAAAGTTGAAATCACTCAAGAGCTTTAATGTTGTTTCCACATCAAGCCCAGATGCTTTCATAAAGGCTCATATTCAGATAGAGATTGAGACGTAACTGTCCCAAATTCAACTTGATAAGGTGACCTATAAGACCTGGAAGAAGGTGACAGACAGCAGGGGCAAGTCGAAGATGAAGCTTGTGGATGAAGAAGTGGCCCAAGATTATTTTATCAGCAACTTTTTGAGTCAGTGTACACAGTTCCGCGAACATGTGGCTCGTGTTCAAACACAATATGCTCAGCTTAGGGTCTTGAAGGACAATTTGCCGGACTCTCATGTCATTATCCAAATGGATTTTGCCGAGAATTATGTCTGTCAGTGTCTTGACGAGATCCAATCTGCTTACTGGAATGCCACTATGGTAACACTTCATCCAGCTGTTGTATACTTCAAGAACAATGGAGTCCTCAATCACAAAAACTTCATCTTCATCTCAGATACTATGACCCATAGTTTTGGCACCGTATACACCATTCTGCAGTCATTGCTTCCAGAGGTTAAAGAACTGGTTCCATCTCTGTCGTATGTTCAGTACTGGGTGGACTCACCATCAAGCCAATATAGAAACAAGACAGCTTTCAACTATGTCCTACAGCATCCTGAGGTGTTTGGTGTTCGGGCTTCGTGACATTATTATGTATGTGGTCCCGATAAAGGGCCCTGCGACGACCTTGGAGGTACCGCCAAACGAATGGCCGATTCAGCCGTGAAACGGGAAATTCAACATACAAAGTGCGCACGATTTCTATGTATGGGCAACTGGGTAACCAAGTTCTGTCGTGTACATCTTCAGCAGCAAAGAAGACTGCGATTCCAATCAAAAGAGACTTGTACAGTGGGGTGTGAAGCCAGTTAAAGGAACTATGACAATTCACGCAGTTTATGAAGCAGAGGGTTGTCTCATGGTAAAGGAAACATCCTGCTTCTGTGATGGATGTTTTGCCTCTGATGGGTTCTTGTCTGTCCCGTCATGTCCATGGCAGAGAAAGGTTCTTGTGACAAACTCGGCTCCAGATGAGTGAGGAGAATGCTCCAGAGCCAGAGAATGTTCCCCGTCATGTCCATGGCAGAGAAAGGTTCTGGTGAAAAACTCGGCTCCAGATGAGTGAGGAGAATGCTCCAGAGCCAGAGAATGTTCAGGCTGATGAAGAAGTTCTGCCTACTCAGTCAGAAGCAAACGTTGAACCTGTCCAGGGCAACCAAGATCCACCCTGTGAGATATCAATCGAGGATTATGTTGCTGCCATTTATGAATTTGACAACAAAGTATATTTTGGCAAAGTTCTGGACATTGACGAACAGGACTATCAAATCTGTTTTATGGAGGCGTCGGGAAAAACCTGTAACTACAAATGGCCACGAAGTTCAGACAGTGAAACCATTTGGGTGAACAAGCGATTTGTACTGGACAAAGTAAAGAGCCATCTAAAAAGGATGTTGATCCGATCGCTAGAGAATCAACACTTTGTATCCAATAGGGAAATCCAAAAGGATGTTCATTACAATCTTAACTCCTGTTCTTTATTCCTGCCAGAGAACCATGTGGTATTTTACGTTATGACATTGGTATTTTACGTTATAGCATTGTGAATTCATGTTTTCAAATAGTTTGAATACAGGTCATTGGAACATAATGTTACCATGAACAGTTGTTCATGACTTCAGACCAAAGAAGGACACTTTGTTACACAATACACAGTTGTATGTTACGTTATTAAAGTTAGTATAATCCGTTATGTATTCTGGTTGTTGTATTTTCGGGCTCTGCTCTTTGAATGATTGAAATACAGCTAAAATAGAAGACTCATTAGGTTAATGATCAATTTGACAACACCCAAAGTAATGAAGCTGGTGGTTTCTTTTAACGAAATTCAAGAATTTTGGACTGAAACCTTGACCTATTTTAAAGTACCTTTAATAGAAAATGGATTTCAGTTTACTCTCAAGTTCTTTAACCAAGTATGTACTGATTTACATGAAACTTATATTGCTGCGAAATATTATTGCTTTGACTAGCTATTGGTAACGGCTGCACTGGTCATGAACGCTTGTTTTATTTTTATTTTCAATTTCAGTTGATATAATGTAAAATACATTGAGTTTGTGATATGTAATCTTTCATCAAAAATATTACAATGATGCTAAATGGTGTGATGCTGAAATTTAAATTTTCATGAGATACCATTACCGACGATAGACCCATGTCATTTTTATCCCCGCCACGCATTTAGCGAAGCAGGGGATATAGTATTAGGCTCTGTCCGTACATCCGTATGTACGAATTGGAATATCTTAAGAACCGTTGACTAGATTCTTTTCATATTTGGTACATAGGTTCATCACAGTATAAGAAAGGTTCATCACAGTATCAAGTCACAAGGTCAACGCTTTTACCTGCATGTTTATCTCAAGAACCTTTGATTTTCTTCATATTCAATACCAAGCTTCATCTAGGGAAGGCGCTAGGCCCAGTCGATTTTGGTGACCTTCACATAATTTTTAGGTCATGGCCACACTTTGAAGATTTCAGCATGTAAACCTGCATGTTAAGCTATCTCAAGAACCTTTCACTGGATTATCTTCATATTTGACACCAAGGTTTATCTAGGGAAGGCGCAGGGCTCAGTCAATTTTGGTGACCTTCACTTAATTTTCAAGGTCACAGAGACAGAAGATTTCAGCATATTAACCTGCATGTTATGCTTGTCAGCAAGATACCTCAAGAACCATTAACTGGAGTTTCTTCATATTTGAAACCAAGCTTCATCCAGGGAAGGCGCAGGGCCCAGTTGATTTTGGTGACCTTCACTTTATTTTCAAGGTCATGACGACACTTTGAAGATTTCAGCATGTTAAATTGCATGTTGAGATAGTCATCAAGATATCGCAAAAAATATTCACTGGAGTTTCTTCATATTTGAAACCAAGCTTCATCCAGGGAAGGCGCAGGGCCAAGCTGATTTTGGTGACCTTCACATAATTTTCAGGGTCACGACGACACTTTGAAGATTTCAGCATGTTAACCTGAATTGTCAGCAAGATATTTCAAGAACGGTTCACTGGATTTTCTTCATAGAATTTCAAGACTTCCCTTAAATGTTTTCAATAAGCAATTTCTTTAGTACTATTTTTGCATATTTCATACACTATGACATTCATGTCAAAGTCAGTCTTGAAAATATGTGTGTGTTTGAACAACTAAAGAGCAAGATATCAAGAGAGGTTGACTGGTCATGTTTTTGTTGACATTAACTTCATCTTAAACTTTTATTACTTTATGATTTGATAATTACTGTTTGATTTGATAATTTGCGGCGGGGTATTATGTCACCTTAGTGACAATGCTTGTTAACTCTTAATTTTGAAAAATATTTTTGTAAAAGTTTCAGTTTTTAATTGTGCACTAAATTTGAGAATGAGTGTGGGTGCCTTGCCATGACTCACAGCAAGCTAACATGACCTAAAGTCATTGAGACAGTGCACCTTGTGAATTAACAATGTGAAGCAGGGTCATCCCACAGATGACATCCTTACCATGTCTCAGAGACCCTGAACCACTTATTTGTCCTACTGCCTAGCCCTCCCTGCAATGCTAAAACCCTAAATGAGGCAAGTCTAGAATCCCTCAGGCTCTGGTCTCCCAACTCAAAGGCTCCTTTTCAATTGAAATGGGTTTATTTGTTACTATCAAAATTATATATATTCAGAGACTAAGTGTTAGTCTACATGTCAGCTTGCTGACAAGGTTAACCTCTTTGGACAAGGCATCAGACTTCGGGTCAGCAAGTCAGTGGTTCAAAAGCCTAGTACTGGACTTTGAAGTTTAATATCACTGGCACTCGATGTGGGGCTGAGCATGCTCAAGGTGAATTTGACCAAAATAAGTCTCAGTACCCTTCAAATTCTAGCAGGGAGTACAGTCATCAAAAGGATGACATCCTTACCTTGTCAGCTTGGTGATGGGGTTAATCTCTTCCTGCATGGGGACAAGGCATCCGACTTAGGATCAGAAAACCTGTGGTTTGAATCCCAGCACATGGTCCGGAAGTTTAATGTCTGCTACATGTGAACTGGAGTTTTGCCACAGTCTCATGTAAAGTTCTCCAATGCATCCATGTTTTTTCTTTCAGTACAAAAACCTGCCACTCAACTTCAGTCAACCACTGGGAAGACAACATCAGTTGTGCGGAAATCAGTTTCCTCACCAGGTGGTGCAACTGTCTCCCCACAGAACAGACCTAAAGCCTCCACCAAAGGGCCCAAAACATCGTGGACACCACCAGGTGAGTGTTGCTGATCAGACACATTTGTCTTGTCTATATCCCTCAGTAGCTCTGCTATTGTGTCTCAGACATTGCAGAATATTTTATGGAATGTGGTTTTATTTGTTTGAATTTTCGCTAAGCCGGACTCAGAAACGTTTTTCATTGGAATTATGTTTGCTTCTTTTCAGCCCTTTCAAGTTCATGCAAGTCAGCTGTTGGGGGTAATGCTATGACATCACCCTCTGCTGGCATTCGCCTCGGGCTGTCTCGGCTGTCAAGTCCCGAACCAACAACAGTGTCAGGTCTTGTCAGCCCCTTCATCCCACTCTAATAGTAGGACAACAGTGACAGGTGCTTGTCAAGTCCCTTCATCCCTTCATCCCAGCCCCCTTCTCTAAATAGTAGGACAACAGTGACAGGTGCTTGTCAGACCCCTTCATCCCTCTCTACGAGTACAACAGCAACAGGTGGTTATCATCCTTTCCTTGGTTTGCACAGGTTACCTTTTTTCCTACATTTGGGAGATATATGTTGCCATGGTTACCATTATGTTTGAAAGGTCACTTAGATGTTGGTATCCCAACATGTTATAAACACTGATGTCAGTCTTGTTGGTAACTTGGACCCTTGTACTGAAGTAGACGGGAAAGTCGGTAGTACAGTCACTGGATGTATAATGATGTCCTCCAGTCGCTGGCGGTCAGCCATGTCACAGATTAGGACCTTCAACACCGGTGTGTGCAATCAGCTTGCACCAACCTGGATTGTATCTCACCCATGCAGGATGTAGTATCACATCTCAAGTTTTATTGAGATGAAATGTCAGCTTGATTAGTATATTTTGTACATGCTGTAGTTGTATTTTGTACATAATGAATGATCTTACTGTGTATATGAACTTTACTGAATACCTGTATGATGGTATCACAGGCTACTCCAGGTATTTGCTTTTGGCCTTGTGAGTGCTGGGGACCCTCAACCATGCTTTTGTAGTTGAGGGAGGTCAGAGGTCCCAGTGAGACCTATAACAACCACAAATGGCAGAGGCCCAGATAAGCTGCGTATCCTGGTAAAATACGCATAGAAAATGTCCAATTACGCATTGAAAAATAATGCAGTTGTGTACCAATTACGCATTTAAAATATTAGATACACAAAAAGTTTAAAACAAATGCGTATGGAATATATTTATAAAGATCGCTTGCGTAATGAAAAAGACATCGATTGCTATCAAGTTGTACTGTTAGTATAGGATAAGTGTTGTACTGTCAGTATAGGATGAGTGATTTTTCATGAAATCATATCCATTATATTTAAGTTGGTTTTGATTAGGTATGACATAAGGCAGAAGGTACCTGCTTAGTAAACTTACTCAATAACGTAATACTTAGGTGAGTAAAATGACTGAAATATGCACATATTTGAAAGCAGTGGGTAACGGAAAATGAAATACCCACTCAACATTCATAATACCCACTCCATAAAAATACAGTGGGTACAGTACCCACATGAGCTAAATCTTATCTGGAGCTCTGAAATGGCTTGTCACTTATCTGATATTATCCAGGGTGTGATTTTGGTTTTATTCAGTACCTGCACCGAGTGCAACCAGGCTTATAGGTTTGGCTGCATCATCAAAATTTTGGCAGCATCATATAATCATATCACTAAATCTAATAAGTTACATAAATACTCAGTATCAGATACATTCAACAGAAGCTGACCCCATGATGATAAATGATGAATGATTGTTTCAGCTTTGCATTACTTTATTTATAAATCTCAATTCTACCATGACTTCAGTAAATACTGGATTGTGATTGGTTAATCAAAGTCATTCAGAGGTATATAATCACGTTATATACCTCTGATTTTCCAACTTAGTGTGTGTTTTTATCCCACCGGCATATAATGCGGTGGGATATAGTCGTCCGTCTCGTCCGTCTCATTCATCCGTCAACCCGTCCGTCCGTCATAATCATTTTGTTTCCGGACCATAACTCAAAGACCGTTTCGATATTTTTTAACCAAAATTGGTAGATATGTCAAAAATAACCTAAGGTGGTGCCTTTTGCTATTTGCAGATTTTTTTTTGTCAGGGTGGGCTTTTATTTTTGTATGATTTCCATGGAAACGATTTGCACTTAGTCTAAAATCAAGCTGGACTTTAAGTAACTGTCAGATGATTTGTTCTTTCAAAGGTGTAAATGGGGATATGTCATCTTCTGATGACTCTTGTTAGCATAACTCAAGAACCGCTCAAAAATCATAATAACGCTGGCGGTTATGGTGGAATGGAGATAAACAAACTGGGAGGGGGTAGTTATATGATTACACTGCTATGTAACTGTATTATGAGTACACAAATGTTTATGCTTGTAACAAGTCATGTGGAGAGAAACAAATTACTTCCAGGCACTTACTTCCCAATTAAAACACACAATGGTAGCTATAAGATGTTGGAGGAGTTATTGTTACCTGCACCAGGTGCAACCTGTTACTACAGGTAACCTGCACTGGCCAGTTATAACGTGTGCAGGTGGTAAATAGCGAAATCGTACCTGCATATCTGTGAAGCTGTGGGATAATCTTTGTTTGAAACAAAACATAGTGGTTGAAGAAAATCTGAGGGAAAGTAAAGATATTATGTGCTGCTTTAATGTAATGGAGTTTATTGTTTACTATTCAACTGACTGACTGACTCAAACATCACCGCTGGGGATATTTATGGGCTTCACATATTGTATATGGGGATTATCTCCTGACGAGTCAACGCTTTAACCACTGCAACAACAACCTTCTCTGTTTACTATTCAAACTCATATTTATGTCTTATATTTATATGCATCTCTTGGTACTCACAGTGCAAATTCGCAAATGTAGGGAAATAGGAAGTAATGCTTTGTTCTTGTAAAACTCAGCTGTACAAGATAGCAAAGTTATATATGGAAGCAGGTAATAATAGTTTTTTGTGAGCCTTTATTGATTACGTTGTGTCTGAATATTGATGTGATCCAAGGAAGGATGGATACAGACTGAAGAGACTAGTTAGGTTACATAACCACTGAACAGATGCGGACTGCCTGTCATTATGAAGCGGTCAGTGGGATTGCCTAGTGGTTAAAGCGTTGACTTGTCACGCCGAAGACCCGGGTTCGAATCCCCACATGGGTACATTGTGTGAAGCCCATTTGTGGTGTTTCCCCGCTGTGATGTTGCTGGAATATTGCTAAAAGTGGTGTAAAACAATGCTCAGTCAGTCATTATGAAGCTGAATACATGACACTTTTTTATGGATAACAACTTTTCTTTATTCTTTGTATGACGTTTCAGAGCTAATTCTTGCTCCTTCATCAGGTGAATGATGAAGAGGCAAGAATGAGCTCTGAAACGGTTTACAAATATCCATAAAAAGATGTCATGTATTTATGTTTGTCCAACTTCTAAATGCCTTTCAAAAACATCCTTATGAAGCTGTAAATATGCTAGCTTTAGTGAGTGAGTGAGTGAGTGCACATGAATCTAAATGTGTTGTATATAGTTTTAGAATGTTTTAGTTGGTACTTGTAAATCATTACTCTTGCACTGAAATAAAATGATATGAATACAATGTTGCTTTTCATCATACTGTCTGAAACTATTTAATATTTGACCGTTCATAATTTATGGGGGTGATGGTGATTATAAGGGGAGATCACCCATTTTGTTCTGAAGTGGTAGGGGGCGTCAGCAATATTTGTACATAAAAATATTTTCAAAATTATGCTTAAAAAATATGGGAAATAGGGGGTTCACTGATTTTGTGCATGACATGCAAGGGGGTCACTAACTTTGGTCAGTCACATTGTAAATCACATTTTTAATCACCATAAAAAATCATCATTAATAAAACATACACACACATACACACACCATAAATTAATGAATGGTCCCAAATTGTTTTCGTTTTACTAACTATCTTCCATCTATTTCTCTCAAAATAAACGTTGGACAACGATTTGGGAGACTGAATAAGTGAAACCAAATGATATATTTTAGAACGTGTGAAATGAATTTTAAAAAAAGGAAAAGCTCAACGTCCCTGGGTGGATTCGAACCACCAACCTTTCGGTTAACAGCCGAACGCGCTAACCGATTGCGCCACAGAGACACGATGCCAGCGGATGTGTTCGTGACCACCCGTCTCGTTCGTCACTACTCGCAACTTTCGGGAAGCAGAAGCTGTCCCGGAATATTGGACACGAATGTTTCCATGGCAACCTGAACACTGATAGGGAACCCAGGGAGACTTCAAACCGGGCAAACATTATCGCAACTAGAGTAAGATCGCCTCAAACTCAATTTTTGTTATCTTTTCATGATCCGCTCAGCAAATGTGAGTTGCTCTAGCACACATTTAGGGGTGTCCTCCCATTACGCAGACAGCCAGTTCGCAGACACCTTATCATTTATCATTTAATCACAACAAAGTTCTATTTACCCTAAAACAAACTTCTCAGTAACAAGCCTGTTTCAGGCTCAGCCTGCTCTACTCACTGGACAGTGGACTGTTCCATTATACCCGTAGGTGTTACCCTAATTAACCTTCTAGTTCAGTGTCTGCCAATTGGGTGTCTGTCAAATGGGAGATAACCGTATTTTTGGGCGGTGGGGTAGCCTAGTGGTTAAAGCGTTGGCTCGTCGCGCCAAAGACCCGGGTTCGAATCCCCACATGGGTACAATGTGTGAAGCCCATTTCTGGTGTCCCCCGCCGTGATGTTGCTGGAATATTGCTAAAAGCGGCGTAAAACCAAACTCAGTCAGTCAGTCAGTAAACAGTATTTTTAGGGAATAAACATTTCATGTAATACGGCGATTACTACTCCCTTGTTGTAACCCGTGTTTGGTGGTATAAACCTACACCTGTATATTTGTAAACATTCACTTCATGGTCGGTTAATGAATTTATAACAGGTATAATTAGTGGTAACACCACTCAGATTACCTGACAAAGGTTCCCATTTAGCATTTCTCGTGTCTGGAGTAAATACTAAACATTATCAAGTAAGGTCTGATGTGGCAAATGTATCATGTTATGTAATATGCACATGAGAGTGAGTGAGTGAGTTTAGCTTTACGCCGCACTCAGCAATATTCCAGCTATATGGCGGCGGTGTGTAAATAATAGTCTGGACCAGACAATCCAGTGATCAACAGCATGAGCATCGGTCTACGCAATTGGGAACCGATGACATGTGTCAACCAAGTCAGCGAGCCTGACCACCCGATCCCGTTAGTTGCCTCTTACGACAAGCATGGGTTACTGAAGATCAATATTCTAACCCGGATCTTCACGGGTAATATGCATATGGAAATGTAGCAAGAGGAATTATATATCAACTGAGTTAAAAAGAAAAACATCGGTCAAATGATTAACTGATGATTATTTACTTTAATCTTGCACAGCGGATTTGTCAAAAGGTATTGTTTATATATGTAGATACATTGTATAGTGAATACACCCACATTATTCTGTCGTAAAGTGCCTGTGGATAAACAACGCGTATTTCCTTCAAAGGATTAACCACCAATACTTTGATTGATTGCTCATTGTTGTCAAACTAAATTACTTTTTTAAAGAATGGTAGACATGGAAATACTTGTCACATGTACTATCTTGGGTGATCAATGAAGCCATACAACAATGTGAAAAACCTGAAACGGTCACGCAACCAGTTGAGACACTATCACGTTATATACATGTTTTGCATATTAGACTGTTAAATGACACATGCCATGGAACAGGTTTCTTTGTCAGCTGCAGATGAATGTCATATCGTTCCTTTATGTGCATATTGATGGATACTTGCCTCGAACAAAGTAATAGCCTGATATTATTGCTATAACCTAGTCGGTTTTAATTTTAATAATTGTATATTTGTTTCATTTGATGTAGCATTCAGCAGAATCATTCCACTTCATAAGTTTTCGCCGTGAAGTTCGATGAGATAGATATTTAGAGAAACATATACTAACACTGTGAAATGTGATTAACGTAGGCAATCTAGTGGAAATATGATAAAATCAGGGGCGTCATAAGACAAAAATATAAAGACGTACATTTTGTTCAGTCTTAACATTTTTTATCACAGTAACAAAGCAACAACCAGTCTCGGGGAACTCCTCTCGATCAGTTTCCCTTTAACAGGATTCAAACATAGGAATTGCCTTAATGCCATTTGCTGTCAAAATACATGCATATCGAAATGAACTGCTGAAAACAGCGCCTGCGTTTAATTTTTTGAAGGGTGTACAGTATATATACTTAGTTCCAAAAGAAACGCAACATTCATGTTTGTTTTTTAAATGTCCATAATTGTCTTATCTACTTTACAATTATATCGAATGTGCATGTTAAATGTTCTTTGAAACCAATTTTCGAAATTAACCTTCAGAAACAAGACTTTTAAGGTCAGATTAGCCGTAACAACTGAATCTAATTATTGAACATTTGTATGGGAAGAAACAACAGAAATGCATCACATAACGCATGCCCTGACGCGTTGTGCACATGAATTTAATGAGACGACACTTTCTTCAAGAAAAACGAGAGTAAGAACCCTTTAAAAGATGCGACGGCAGTTTCTGTTGTGTTCTTTTTCTGAATGGTTCAGAGAACAATATGCCACGTCTGAGCAATGAAGCACGTATACGTGCTCTTGGGGTGATTGTCACACAGGCAAGACTGTTACATCGTAACGTCACATCTTCACAATCGTTTTCTTCCAGCTACTGTTACACCCCGTCAGACAATTGGGGTGCACAACAGACCAATTTCAGGAAACACTGTGCGTCGACGTTTGAGAGCACACCGGCTACACTATAGGAGACCCTATGTTGGACTGATTTTGACGCCACGGCTCCGTCGTCTGCGCTTTGCATGGGCTCGCCAACATCAGCATTGGAGATATGCACAGTGGCAGAACGTTGTTGTGTACAAGAACATTTCCCGTGCTTTCATTCGACGTTTGTTCATGTCCATGGGAAGACAGTGTACTCATGTGATAAACAATAATGGTGGTCATACCAGGTACTGATAACATCGAATATCAGCTTGGGCGTCTAAATGTGTCTAATGCAGACTCTTCGGGTTGGACACAATAAAAATTACATCATATCTTAAATCCACTGTCGCTGCTGTTGTCTTTTATCTTTCTTTGGTGCGTTCTGTGTAAAGCATATAGTGTCTGGAAGCATGTATGTGGGATAACAGTTCATATTTCAAATGGACATGTCGCATTTCTTTTGGAACTAAGTATATAACTTGTGATTTGAAGTATTGATTTTATGATATAGATCTAATAATGAATCAGCTGAACAACGGATGTAAAATACGGAATACCTAGTAAGCCTGAGGCGGCCGTTATCCGCACAGGTACTACAGATAAGTACCCCAGGTATGTTTCTGTCTATAGAACTAAAATCTAGGTCAAAAGCACGGTCGGAAGGACAAACGGACGGACGGTCAGAGTCCAAAATAATATACGGCCAACCTTAAACTGACAGCGCATGTCTTTTGCGCAATGGGACTGTACGTGTTACTAAACATTTAGAGACAGTTAACCAGTATAGCCTTCAGCATTACCGTTAACGTTCACGCTGGCGCAGCATATCTTTTCCCTTGACGATGATATATCAAGTGTTATGTCCTGAAATATTTGTTCCGTGATTCCATGATACACCGGAGATAGCCATGACTGCTTATATTGCATTAATAAATCGCGAAATGGCCATTCGAACTTCGAAGCGAGGCGGTGGAATCAGCCGATCGTTTTCAGGTCATGTTTTGTCGTTTTGTTGACGTTTTGCAATCGGTAGTGTAGGTCTGGCACTAGATGTCACACTGTTGAGCCTGCAGTGTATTTGCATTGCATATGTACTCAAATCTATATAGTATTAAGCCGATTAGGATGCATTCATGTAATTAGTAGGAGATGATGCGGTGCGCGAAATGTGAAAGCATTGTTATGCAACGTGTGAATTTCGTCGTGAATTAAATCTGATATTTTGGTATGATGGTGCGTGTGTACTTTAATATTACATTTCACATGGATGACACTATTCAGTCATTGTACATAAGTATTATCTGTTAAATCTGTAAAAATATAAATAATTGCATACACATATCTACATGGAATGATTGTGGGGTTAAATTCAAATTCATGTCATCAAAAACATATTTGATTTTAAACACATTTTCAATGTCAATTCCTAACAAACAGACAACACTAAAGTTTTCTTCAGAACTGTTAAATGAAAATATGAATATAAAGCTATAGCTAGATAGCATATGGTCTGTCATATGAAATATTTTATCAACAATGTTACCAAAACAAGAAGAAACAGTCATATGTCATGTAATTCTATCATACACATCCTCTTGGGTGGTCAGAATGATCTGTTGTTTGTTGAGCCGAATCTCTGTAAATGACACTTTTGTTTATAGGTTAAATGGTGTAAAACGTTTGTAAGAAATGGATTTATAAATTAACATATATAATGACTCACAGCACTGGCTGATGGGCACATTTTATAAAGGCTAAATCTTTTATTTCAAACTATGATGACTGGTATTTATGCTGCAACCGATTAATTGGATAATAGGTGTATGGTACATTAAGTATGCATCTGAAATATAGTGTCAGAATTTAAAAACAAAATGAAATGTGTGAGGAACTGCTGATCAAAACGTACTATTCACATTTATAATTAAAGGTTACATTCTACACGGAATTTCTTCAATTGTCAGGGGTGGGTAATAATTACTAATTTGCGATAAATGCCTTCCAGGGGTATCTCCAATTCTTTTTCATTGAGGTCGGTGGTAGTATGAGAACTATTTGTTAAATTTGAATGCGGCAATAGTTGAAGAATTGCCGTCGGAAATAACATAAGGGCTGATATATAAAGTGAGTTTACATTATATCATAGATGCTATGACACCCGAGACTTGCACTGTCTCGTGTTCTGTCGTAGGAAATGCCGTGACAATATACCGATGTTTCATGGCGTTGTCCCCGTTATCGTCTATCATTTCAATTCGTATTGCGCTTGGAAATTAAACAAACTGTGGACCTGCAACCAGTGTGCTACCAGTGGACAACAGCCTTTGACCCGTGGCCAAAAAACCCTCAAACAGTGATAAATCTCTCCAAAAATAAACACAGTATCAGTTTTTGAAGAACTGACTTTGTTGCTGTATTCTGATCCAATGTGTCATTAGAGAGGCTCTGTTAAAAGTTTGTAGCATAACTCATTTAATTAAGAGTCAATACATGCATTCTCTCAGGATTTCATATACTTTCCTTATATCTAATGTTATATGAACTGTCTAAAACTGAGAAAAAATGATTCTCACAATAAGAAAAGACTCTTTTTATGGTCTAGGTACTGTAGTAGGGTCATTTTCTGTCACCAACTTGAAAAGAAGATGGCAAACTGCTTTTTTTGCTTTTTCGCCCGCCCGCCCCTCATCAGCACCAGTTTGGAGATGAGAAGCATAAAAAAAATGTGGATGGCCTTAGTTTGGCTGTGAGAAATGTTTGTTTTGCAAAATACCATTTTCTCCATTTCCCTTGCATTGATACGATAAAGTACTCATTTTTTTTATAAAATATATAAGAGCAATAAAAAAAGTTCATCATACTTTATAGAATATAAAATATATTTTCCGACTGAACATACTGCATAAGCTGTATAAGAGTAGTGAGAAATGTTCATTCTTTAATGAAATACATGAATCGAGGGGCTTTTGACAGGGGCGCTCAAAATTAGCGAGGGGATTTTGTCCAGAGGGGCCTTTGTCCTGAGGGGCTTTTGGCCGGTACCCATAGAAATGTAGTCTAATCAAAATTAATTTTCAGTTTCGCGCCGGGCCTCGTTTTCGAGTGACCGGGTTTCGAGCATGCTGGAAAACATCAACATAGCGAGACTCGATTCGTTAACGCAGGTTTTCATAAGAAAACGCTCAGAGTTTATACGTTTCAGTGTTGGAAGCAGATATCAAAGGCACTTGAAAGTCGTGTAGAACGGGTTATTCACACCTGCATTTGACTTTTGTGTCAAGTATTGTGAAAACAGCTTCGATTGTTCTCGAACTTGGCCTTGGGTGACATATACTTCCGCATTGGGAGCGTCAGTCAACAAGACACCCACCTGCAAGCCGCAGCATGTCTCTCGAACGGATTCTCACTCCAGCTCTACTCGACTTCCACTACTTCGATGAGATCTTCGAGGAAACACACCGAGAAGTTGCTAAGATGCATCAAGACATGCGATCAGCAATGCTTCGGATTACACCGCCCGACCAGTTGATGGAAGGCAATAACTCGCACACACAAAGAGTGGAGGCATTTAGGAGGACTGTTACAACTAACGAGGACGGCAGTCGAGAATTTCTTCTGAAGCTGGACGTCAGTACATTTAAACCAGAAGAAATTGTACTGAAAACTGACGGAAATGAACTCTCAATCGAAGCCAAACACGAGGAAAAGAGTGACACTTCCCGAGTATTTCATCAATTTTCCCGCCATTACACCCTGCCGGAGGGCACGGTGACCGACGCGCTGGCCTCGACATTATCTAAAGATGGCGTCCTGACGGTCAAAGCCCCTGTTACTGCCGACAACGCAATTGAAGGACCAGCGGCCAAGAAACCAGCCCTGGAGATCCAGTGAACATCCTTTGATCATTATGGAGGCTATTTGGGGCCATATTTTGACAATAATTTAGTAAGCTACTTTTAGTTTGGTTAGCCATGATATTCGCACTTTAGTGGCTGCTATGATATATCATTTTTGCTTTAAAAAATATCTTGTCCGCTATCTGCATAAGGCACGTACTAAACATACTTGCTTATTGCCCCAGGCAGTTCATTTCAGTTAGTGGGGTTAAAAACAATGAAAATGAAAGTTTGTTTACATGCTGCATGTGATTTATTGTCACTAATATTGTTATTACCAGTTTTACAAGTATGGTTGTTATTTACAAAGACATTGTTCATTGCTAGTTTCAGTTTTTACAATTCATACCCAATTGACATTATTATGTTAACCTTGAGCTAGGAAATCCACACTGAAATAGGTTTACTTCATTTTGAATATTGTACAAGTTAATATCACTAGAGTTCATGTGTTAGGAGATGTTGGTATACGTTCATACGTTCAGAATAAATGTTTTGGACCAGATATTGATTGTTTTCTATTGATATTAAAATGTTCTTGAATGTGATGGCATAGTGGATAAAGTGCTGACTGACTGATCAAAGATCCTAGTCTTCGTTCCCACGTGGGTTCTGTGTGAAATTCAGAGCAGTGGGGTGGTCTAGCGGTTATTTATTAAAGTGTTCGCTCGTCACTCCGAAGACCCGGGTTCGATTCCCAATATGGGTACAGTGTTTGAAGCCCTTTTCTGGTGTCCCCGTGTTGCTATTGCTGGAATATTGCTAACAGCGGCGTAAAACTAAACTCACCCAACTCTGTGAAATTCAGTCTTGCTGCATTCTGGGTGATTACCTGTCATTGTAGCCGAAGGCCTGGATTGTTCTATGGCGGTCGTATCAGATATTGTTTCACCCCGACTCCGCAATATTCCAGCTATATGGCGGCGGTCCGTAAATAATCGAATGTGGACCAGACAATCCAGTGATAAATGTAATGAACCAATTAGAGGCGACTAACGGGATCGGGTGGTCCCCACTCGCTGACTTGGTTGACATATGTCATGGTAGCCTAGTTGCGTAGATCGATGCTCATGCTGTTGATTACTGGATTGTCTGGTCCAGACTCGATTATTTACAGACCGCTGCCATATAGCTGGAATATGGCTGAGCGCGGCGTAAAACTTACATATGTTCGAGATGAATGTCGCTCACAAGATTGGAGTTACCTCCCTTACACCACAGTTGCATTCTCACTACGGTCTATCAGAAAATGCGCCATTGAGGGCGGATGCAACTTGTTGATAAAGGTGGGTGCACAGTTCATGTTGACCCGTTTTGACGAGAGTTTCAGTGGTCAACCGTGCACCTCCACTCTGGATCCGCCAATGGCCCGAATATAGTTGTCTTAGAATGACCATATGAAGGATTTATGATGTATTTTGAGTACCCCGGCATTGCTGCTCTTTAAACTAAGTAAAAGAGTGGATAATATTCCAGCTGTATTATGTCGCGGCAGCCAGTTTTTTACCAGGAAAACTATCCTTATTCTAGTTAGTAATTTCTTGTAAATTGACCGTACAAATAAGTTTCCGTTAACGGAGCGAATTAAACGTAACCATTGGATTAAGATTGTAACAAATGTGTAATAGCAATGGCGCAAGACTCTGGCGCTACACCCGTTGAAAACTTCATTTACATTATGTACTTTTTGTTCATCGATACAGACTGGGAGGTTATTATATGCAAATTGCCATGCAATACCTTTACAACACATACCATGAGGCTAAAAATACATGTACATGTTTACTGTGATATTCCCAGTGCATGGAATGCATATACCAGGAATCCAGGAATGAGAACATGGACCCTTTTCATGAAAGTATATGGAATAAGAGAAATATTTTGGTTAATAGAAAAATTATGTTTGATAAACACGGTTATGAAGCTGGTATTATTTATATTAGACAATTAATTAATACCAAAGGTATTTTTTTTATCAAAGGGAAACAACTGAAAGGCGTTATAATTTAACAACTCAACCAAGATTATAGGATTATATACATCAAAGTGAAAGGAAGATATATATATGTCAAGTTATAATTTAACAACTCAACCAAGATTATAGATTATATACATCAAAGTGAAAGGAAGATATATATATGTCAAGTTATAATTTAACAACTCAACCAAGATTATAGGATTATATACATCAAAGTGAAAGGAAGATATATATATGTCAAGTTATAATTTAACAACTCAACCAAGATTATAGGATTATATACATCAAAGTGAAAGGAAGATATATATATGTCAAGTTATAATTTAACAACTCAACCAAGATTATAGATTATATACATCAAAGTGAAAGGAAGATATATATATGTCAAGTTATAATTTAACAACTCAACCAAGATTATAGGATTATATACATCAAAGTGAAAGGAAGATATATATATGTCAAGTTATAATTTAACAACTCAACCAAGATTATAGGATTATATACATCAAAGTGAAAGGAAGATATATATATATGTCAAGTTATAATTTAACAACTCAACCAAGATTATAGGATTATATACATCAAAGTGAAAGGAAGATATATATATGTCAAGTTATAATTTAACAACTCAACCAAGATTATAGGATTATATACATCAAAGTGAAAGGAAGATATATATATGTCAAGTTATAATTTAACAACTCAACCAAGATTATAGGATTATATACATCAAAGTGAAAGGAAGATATATATATGTCAAGTTATAATTTAACAACTCAACCAAGATTATAGGATTATATACATCAAAGTGAAAGGAAGATATATATATGTCAAGTTATAATTTAACAACTCAACCAAGATTATAGGATTATATACATCAAAGTGAAAGGAAGATATATATATGTCAAGTTATAATTTAACAACTCAACCAAGATTATAGGATTATATACATCAAAGTGAAAGGAAGATATATATATGTCAAGTTATAATTTAACAACTCAACCAAGATTATAGGATTATATACATCAAAGTGAAAGGAAGATATATATATGTCAAGTTATAATTTAACAACTCAACCAAGATTATAGGATTATATACATCAAAGTGAAAGGAAGATATATATATGTCAAGTTATAATTTAACAACTCAACCAAGATTATAGGATTATATACATCAAAGTGAAAGGAAGATATATATATGTCAAGTTATAATTTAACAACTCAACCAAGATTATAGGATTATATACATCAAAGTGAAAGGAAGATATATATATGTCAAGTTATAATTTAACAACTCAACCAAGATTATAGGATTATATACATCAAAGTGAAAGGAAGATATATATATGTCAAGTTATAATTTAACAACTCAACCAAGATTATAGGATTATATACATCAAAGTGAAAGGAAGATATATATATGTCAAGTTATAATTTAACAACTCAACCAAGATTATAGGATTATATACATCAAAGTGAAAGGAAGATATATATATGTCAAAATATGTACTATAACTCATGGGCATTCGCAATGAGATGGAATTATGCCCAGCAATAAATGGCATAAAAATTAGAGAAATTCCGGCTAGATGGTATAATATTCTGACTGAAATTAGCGCAAAATCTACCAAAGAGAATAATGTGCAGGATGAATGGAAATTGATAAAAGATATACCAATGGAAAATAAATACAAACAATTACAGTTTATATAATATTACATTCAATTATTCCATGTAATGAATATTTGAAAAAAAGTGATGTTTGTGAAACGTGGTCATGTACATATTGTCAGACATTATGTGTTCTATTGTCCAAATGTTTTGCCTTTCTGGTTATACATTTTTCAAATAATTTTTCAATAAGTAATACAGGACTTGTATATGATACTGTAAACGTATACAAGGTACAATACAAGGTGTAATTTTAGAATGTTTTAAAGTGAGTTGAAAATACAATATAAGATATTAAAAAAAATAAATTGAAAACACATGTCATTAACACAGGCTATAGAAAAAATATTGGATGTTTGAAACACATGTCTATGATTCATGTAACACATCTGCCCAGGTAAGCCCCTATGTGGCTTCAAACAGGAGTATATTAAATCGTGGAATTGTAGATGGTAATGAAGATGCAGAAAAAAATGTCAAATGTATTCATTTGCAAGGGAAGGCAATACTTGAATTGTCATCTCGTTTGAAAGAAATTATAACGGGAGATTTTGCTGAACAGAAAACATACTAGGGGACTAACTCCAATTTCTTTCTACCCTGTTGATAAGGTATATGGTCTCTGATATGGTGGATCGTCCGTTTGAAGTGAAGTGACAAGTCACCCGGAAGGGTGTGGAATACAGATCTGGTTATTATTTCATTAACCCCCTTGTTTGATTCCAATGTTACTGCCATACAGGATTGAAAGTTATGTGGTTCCAAATGTGGTAAGAGGTTCGAAAAAGCCAAGTTAGGATTATACGACCGCTTCTCTAAGTCACCCGCTCATATGCTTGTGATAGGTGAGATGCTTTCTTTCATAGTATATATGTATCTGTCACTTTATTTAAAATGTAAGGAAGAACACGATTTGAAACTGCTTCTTTGATTTCGGGTGAGATGCAATTCTCAGTGAGGGTGCAAAACATGTCTTGATAATCAAAAGGTACCTGATGAGAGTGTTGGTTCGAATACCGGACGGACCTCAACCTAATAGAAGTGCTAGAATGTGTAGTTTACTGAGGACGTGTAGTCCCCAATGTCATAGAAGTGCTAGAATGTGTAGTTTACTGAGGACGTGTAGTCCCCAATGTCATAGAAGTGCTAGAATGTGTAGTTTACTGAGGACTTGTAGTCCCCAATGTCATAGAAGTGCTAGAATGTGTAGTTTACTGAGGACGTGTAGTCCCCAATGTCATAGAAGTGCTAGAATGTGTAGTTTACTGAGGACGTGTAGTCCCCAATGTCATAGAAGTGCTAGAATGTGTAGTTTACTGAGGACGTGTAGTCCCCAATGTCATAGAAGTGCTAGAATGTGTAGTTTACTGAGGACGTGTAGTCCCCAATGTCATAGAAGTGCTAGAATGTGTAGTTTACTGAGGACGTGTAGTCCCCAATGTCATGAGGAAGTGCTAGAATGTGTAGTTTACTGAGGACGTGTAGTCCCCAATGTCATAGAAGTGCTAGAATGTGTAGTTTACTGAGGACTTGTAGTCCCCAATGTCATAGAAGTGCTAGAATGTGTAGTTTACTGAGTTTACTGAGGTGTAGTCCCCAATGTCATAGAAGTGCTAGAATGTGTAGTTTACTGAGGACGTGTAGTCCCCAATGTCATAGAAGTGCTAGAATGTGTAGTTTACTGAGGACGTGTAGTCCCCAAAATAGAAGTGCATAGAAGTGCTAGAATGTGTAGTTTACTGAGGACGTGTAGTCCCCAATGTCATAGAAGTGCTAGAATGTGTAGTTTACTGAGGACGTGTAGTCCCCAATGTAATAGAAGTGCTAGAAATGTAGTTTACTGAGGACGTGTAGTCC